GGGAAGTTTTACAGGAGTATAAAAGAATTCATCAAGAGCCAAATCACACTTTGAGGTATTGGTGTCAATCACACAGATCCCAACAGACATTAAAATCATGGATCAGCAGGCAGAGTTTAGCTTTGTTTTTCAAGCCAGTTAAAATGAAGTGTGCAAATGAACTGCTCTCTGCTTCCCTGATGGAAATCTGCATGAACCCTGCATAAGCCAGAATGCTCCTTGTGGATATTGTGGCTCCAGGCGAGGCACAGAGCCCAGCTGTGGTCCCCGGAGTGCAGGATTTCACTGTTAGCCCCAAGAGAAGCAAGGGTATTAGCACCACACCAAACCAGCATCAAAGCACAAGTTGTAACACACCCAGGGTATTCAGGAAACTGCTATTAAAGCCAAATGACAGACAAATTGTCTCTAATATTCCCTAGGGACTAGCTAAAAATGATTATAATAGATGCAAATCCTGCATTCCCTCCTGCAAGCACGTAAGGCTGGGACAGCAGTGGAGCCCAATGCCCCATGCTGCAGGGATAAGGCAGGTCTGGCACATGCTCTCTGCACACTGAATGTTGCATCTTCACTATCCCAGTACATGCACATCCGGATTCTGCTTTCCCAAATTACTCTTTCCAGCTAGGGCTTCACATAGGAAAGATCTTTCATTATTATTTACTTTTTCTTTTATATATTTATATATTCTCACACACATCAATATAAGGTTGTATGCTCCCTTTGACTTGTTTTTATAGTACCTTCTATTGAGCAGCTTAATAACCAGTCCCAGGGAACTGCAATGTTAAATCTCCCAGAAACAAATCATGAACAGCTCAACTATTAGAAAACGGAGAAATCCACATAAACTACGTGTTTCTTCCCCGCATCGTTAGAAGCGGAAAAACTACCATGAAGCCAGTAGAGTAAATCCCTTGCCATTTTCCTTGGTTAGAAAGTGAATTAACACAGCTGTTTATTGTTTTGTTTTTCTAAATAACACTCATAGCACATTTTTAAGTAAACATCTGAAAACAAAGCTGGTAACTAGTTTAAAAACAAGCGGTATATAAATGATATACTCAATTAATATACAGAGAGACAGGCAAACATTCATTCTAATTTCACTCAGCTCAATAATCATAAGGAAAAGAGTAATTAAACATTGCAATTACTGTTATAAATGTTACAGAATTAATAGAACAGAAAATCTCAGTTCCTGTTTTGAAACGATGCTTCTAAGGTTTTGGATTCTCAACAGAACACATACCTGTACAACAGCAGCCACAGGCTAGCAAGTTCAATGACTCTGGAAGCTGCTTAACAGCTCCTAAGAGATCCTAGATGATCTCTGTTCTCCTTTCCCCCTTCCTTGAATGCCCATGGCCCCACCGGGCTGTTTTTACACCAGCTGAGAGCTGCTGTGTGAGAACTGGCCACTACCTGTGCGYAAATCAGGTGTCGGCTCCTCAGTGCTGCCAGAATCGTGCAGAGCTCTGAGAAGGGGTCTGCTCTACAAAAGGCGTAAAGATCATAACAGATCTCTAAAACTTACTGCACAACAACCCAAATTGCCCAGGCTACACATCTGACTGGTCTTTCTCAGATTGTTTTAGTTCTATAACCTCAGGAATAAGCCGTGAACAACTYGCACGCACTTGGGTTATGCAAGCAGCGAGCACCCCAGAGATAGGGATCTTGCAATAACTACTTCAAGTCACATTGGCATAAGCTTAATACACTTAGACGCTTACACAGAAACAAGTCACATTTTCTAGAAAAGCAAGGATTTATGGTACAAAACTCTACAAATGCAACCTTGAGAGCCTTCTGGTAAAGCCTAAGCATTCCCTGGGCAGAACCAAGCGATGGCCATGAGCAGCAAGGCTGCAGGCTGACCATGTTTTTGCTCGTACATTCAGATTTGGTTTAATCTAGCAAAGAACCTCAAGGATAGCCTCTCCAGGAAGCAAATGCTATTTTAAGATTAACCTGATGTATTTGCAGAAATATATTCTACCTAAGAATAAAAATTATTTGTTAAAACCAGGATATACCAAGATTAAGCATGCTGTATATATTATGCAGTTTAATAGTATTCCTACCTCCTACCCCAATGCTAATAACCATAAAACAAAGGTCTGTGTGAAAAGGAAACAGCAAATGAAAAAGAAAAAACCCYATTTTCTAGGTCTACCCAGGGATGAAGTGATTATCTGACCTGGCAAACATCTGTGGCAATGAAATTGTTTTGCACTACTCCGAGTCCTCGGGGACGCTCTTTTGTCCCCTTGTCATCTCTCCTGCCTTGCACACATGCTCTCCCCTCATCTCCACCTCTCTAGCACAAGTAAATACAGAAAACAAGAGGCAAATTCCAGTCTGTGCTTCTGTCTAACCTTGACGGAGTTGTCTGGATCTTTGTCAAATTCTAAAGAAAAAGGGAAAAGACAAAAAAGTGCATGCATGCCMCCTAAGACGACCAAGACAGGCTCTGGGCTGTGCTTGAAGCTTGAAGGGACCCTTTCATCTGCTGGCAGCAAGAACTGTGCAGACTTATTTTCACTTGAATCTTCTTAAAAAAGGCAAAAGGTGAATACTGAAGTCTGCAGTCATGTCAAATAAGAAGCTGTTTAAATAGTTCAGTCTCTGCCTAGTTCTAGGAAGGTGCCGCATTGCGCCGTGCTAATCAGTAAGGATAAAGACAGTAAATACTGTTAATCTGCTGTGCTTATAGGGCAAAGACAGCCATTTCTTCAAAGATTAGTTTGCCAGAAGTCTAAAATAATCTCTTTCGAACAAGCAGATGCATTAAACACCATTCCTTTTGTGGCTGAGCAGCATATTCACACTTGCATGGCCACGGAGAGAGGCACACTGTCCGACTGGGCTGCCTGCAACCCTGGGGCGCAGGGACTTYGCCGGGGTTTCTAGGGAAGCAGAGAACAGCAGCAGCCTTCCAGAACCACAGGTTTTGCAGGAGTTTCCTGCAACTATCGCAGCAGGTTGTTGTACCCAGGGACGGTGCTCAGGTTCCCCTCCACAGCCTCACTGCTACCAAGCGGGTCCCTTTGCTATGTGGCCTGCAGGATCCGCAGAGCCCACCCAGCCGGGGCTGCGCCAGGACTTCCCTGACACCTTTCCAGCTCTAACTCTCCAACACTGAAAATCCAAAGGGAAATCAACGAGTCATGTTCSAGAAAGAAGTTCTGGGTCTTTCATAAACATTAATCTTGCAGCATTGTCTGAGCGTGGTTTAGTAGCAATAACCAAACTTATTACCACATCAGAAAACAGCGCCATATGTAAATGCCCTGATCCTCGGGGATACTAATGGATTCCATGCTAGGATATAAAGATGCAAGATTTATATTTGCCTCCAGAGATATTCCAAAAATCCTATTACTGAAGCATTTCTCCAAGGAGAGGAAAGGCTTTGTTTGTTTTTATTTTTTAAAAATCAAGCCTCTTTCTAATCAGGCAGAGCAAAAAGTTTTCACGTAGGGAGAAAGAAGAAAAGCAGCACAAAAACAAGACAGCTCTAATGGAACAGGGAGACTTGCAAGAGGAAAAGATGGAATAAAAACACAGGAAACAAAGGTATGTGCTCCCTGAGGAGCTTTACTGCACAAACACATGCGGGGACAGTTTGCTCCCAAAGGAAATCATTAGAGTTTTCTTTTAAGGAGCTGGATTCCGCGATCAAACTCAGCCTTTTGGACTGATCCAAAGCGAGACGACTCTGCCCCTCTGCTACCTGACAGGCTTTTAATTATGGGGCCTCATAAGACCTGCTTTGAGTTTTCCTCTTTGAGGACCAGCATGGGCTCTCAGCAACAGGCACGGGAGTCCTGGGGAGGGGACGTGGCCCAGGATTCATCCGACACCAGCTGCGTCCTCCCCATTGCAGCCCTGAGCAGACTGGGAAAGGGCGCTCACTAAGCTCCCCCCCCGACTCACAACTTGCCACAACTCCATCTCATCCAAGAGCTCAAGCCCTCATTTTTTAAACACCTCCTTAGATTCCCTTAGATTTCCTTTAGATTTCTTAAGTGCTCTGCTGAAATTGCCAAGCACCTGGTTTAAAATCAAGGATGTGCCTCTGTAGTTTGCTTGACTACGCACTCGGAGAGCCCCACAGGAAGGCTCTGCCATACTGCTAGCAGCCCACCCACATCTTGGATTCTGATGCTGCTTTCCTTTAAATAGCCATTGCACACTGAAGGCCAACTGAAGTTGAATGCAAAAATAAAACCAGAATCATGCTCAAGGAGGAAGGAAAATAGCACAACCTTCACACAAAGTAAATAATCCACAGCTTCAGTGCATCTCTCGTCATTTAAACTCATGGCAGTTCAATTCTCAACAGTTAACTCCAACTCTCCCTCTCAAAATTAAAAGTCTATTTCCAAGCCAAAGAAAAAACTGCTAGGACTTCAGAGCTGAACATTTCCTTCTGCGGCAGGATGCCCCCCAGTTCTCCGCTTTGCAGAACTCACCAATGGATTTTCTCAACCTAAGAGAAGACACAGGCTGCCAGCTGAGATTGAGATACACAGTCACAGGGGAAAATGAAATGGGTGAGAAAAGCACACCAGCATTTTAGCCCTTTCCAGTGAGCACTCAGGACAAACCGAAAATGCACTGCTCTTCAAAGGAAATTAACTTCAAAGGAATCAGCATTTTTCATGAGAATATTTGTCTCAGAGACAACATCGACTGATCAATACAGCAACAACATAGACATGTTTTTCTATCAATCATATATTAAAAACAGCAACAGCAATTTATATTTAATACCCAGTGTAACCAATTAGTACTGCTATTCCCTGCTGCTACACAAGTTCATTCCCTTGCACTGCCATTGCAGTAAATTCTACAGTTACAAATGAGAAGCCACAAATTGATTTGCATGCACTAGCAGCCCCACTAAACCTTTCGTGCCTCTTCCCATTTTYCCCCATCTGCTCCCAGAGTGGAAGTTTAGAATCTATTATTCCCAGAAGGGGACTTACCCAGCTGGACATCTATAACAGTTGGCTGGTTCTCCATGGGGAACAGCGGCTTCGGAGGCTTGTCTGTGAGCAAAGCTAGGAAAGAAATGAGAAAATGATGGGAAAAATGAGACAAATGACTGGATAAGAAAAGTCCTSCCAGGTAAGCAACTGAATATTTGCACACCTGATGGCATGTAAACGTTTACTGCGTAATGCTGCTCCTCTGGCTGTGAGCCTGCCAGGTTTCCTTTTACTGGTTTCCTGGCAGGCAGGGGTAACCCAACAATTTGAAGGAAACAAGCTATTTTGAGATGTTTTTCCATACAAAGCAAACAATTTCATTTCTGGTACCAGTCTGTATCTACATCACGCATGGTAGATCCTCGTCTTGCAAAGCCAAGGTACTTAACTGATTTGAAAGGCGACAACCTAACTAGTTCAGTGAAACCAGTCCTGCTATGTCTTAATGCTTGTTAAAGCTAATATTTAGAGATGCAAAAAATAAAATAAAACAAAAAAAACTTGGGGAGTTTATCCTAATGAGTCTCAACAGCTTCACACCCAGCTTTCTCTCCTGCCCCATTCAGATGGGGTATCCAGATGCTCTCCTCAAAGAGGGGTCTCCAGTTTGGACCTTGCCCTCTATTCTCCCAAGTTTTGCTGTCCTTGGAATAYCCCCAAGGAGTAGAGAACTCCCAGGCCCACTCCTGCACGAGCCTAGGACTGATGACCACGGGCAAAATCACTATTAAGTAGCACAGTTACAGAAAATGTCTCTACAATGCAGTTTCAATGCTTAGAGTCAGACTTTGTAAAGGATTTCTATAAATTTGGAATAAATCTGGAAATAGCTGAAATGAATCTCCGAGTTCCYCTGGAGATGGAGGAAATCTCTCCACCCGGCCCAAGCTGCTGGTCCAGCACCTCCAGGAAGCCTTGAACAGGAGCCAGCCGTGCGGGAGCAGGAACCTGCAGCTCCAGCAGCCAAACGACAGCAGCACAAAGCCAGGGKCATCAACCATCCTCACAGCTCGGTTGGTTGGCTACAGCAAAGCAGCTTGAGGAAAAAGCCTAGAACTCCCCCACCAAAGTCCATCCTGACAGAAAAAGAATGGTATTAAAGTAGCACCTATTTGATTTTGCTTTATAGTTGACACATTTTAAACTCAGAAGCGATTTTCAGAACCACCACCCACTTCTATCTAAACAGCAACCCCTTTCACTAACCCTACAGTCCTGTTCTGCTCATCACAAGCAGCGCATTTCAGTCACCAAACAGGCAGCAGCCAACGCTGCAGATGAAGATCAGGCGTGTTTGCAGGAAGGACTCCTTGTACATTTACCCATGAGAACAACCCAGGAATCTCTTAAGTGATTTAAGCAGCAGCCTAATAAGGCTAAAACCACAGGCAGGGCTCAGGATGAGATAAGGGAGATAAATGGAAAGTTCTGTTGACAAGAAAACAGCAGCTAGAAACGCTCATCCGGTGCCAAGTCACAAGGCTGACCCAGAGGCAACATGAGGGCCACCTGTACAATCATATTATTTGGGGATTAGCTGGGGAGGAAAAAACTTCTGGCAGGAACAAACAATTAATTTTCTGTGCTAATGCACCTAAGTCCTCTGAATGTCATTAGAGGGTCAGAAGAAAGTAACACCAAGCCTCCACACGGAGGTATGGTTTAATATTTCCTTTTAAAAGGATTTCAGTCCTAACCAAAGTTGGAATTTTCTAAGAGTTTTCAGCTTCAAGCTCAAGGGACTTTGCAAGGCATTACACTTTGGGGGACTTTTTTTTTTTTAATTTAATTGCTGAAGGCTTTTGAGAGTCTCTTCCTCATAAAAATCTCACTGCATGCATGGGAAGGTAWATAACCACTTTGAAAAGTCCACTACAAATACCAGCCTAATTCAAACAGTAAATTCCTAAAAATAAAGTTCACACCTTCTTTGACCAAAAATCATTCTCAATAATCCAGAAAAACAGTCTGTCCTCCAGGAAATCCTAATACTCTGATGCCCACAAAATTTCACAAGCAGAAACAAAAAGGTGATGACACATTTTCAGCAGAGGCCCCTTTTCCATTCAGTGTTTATTGGAGTTCTGCTCTTATATTTCAGCTCCTTGTACAAAACCCTCCTGCCAATAAACACTAAGCCAGTAAGAAGAGCCACCAGAGCCGTAAGAGAGACCTCTTTGCTGACAACCGAGCAGCTTCTCTCGGTCACGACGGAAGCAAAGTCTTTTCAGCTTCGAGGGATTCAGAAGGGGATTTCACCTGCGGTGTATCCCCCTCACTTCGCTTCTTTTCTTACTTTTTCAGGCTGGTGTCACTGCTTGGGTTTTCCCAGTATTATCACTCTTCGGCAGCAGCTCCAAGCTCTCGAGTGACTTGCAGCCTCAAAGGAAGGTGCCCGGCACGGCTGGCGCCTGTTCAGCCCTCACCTCCCAGCTGGGTCCCACCTGCACCCTCCAGCCTTCAGCAGGGACCCCGCTGCCTCGCGGCCACCTCATCACCCACTGCCCGGCCTGGGAGACCATTCCGAGCACCGCTTCCTCCCAGGCTAATTCTCAATCCTCTTAAGAGGCAATACACAAACTTCAGAACAAGCAAGTGGCTGTGACACAGGGCTTTTTTCCATGGCATTTCAGGGCAGCCTTTTACAAATTTAATACACTGATCTGATCTCCTGCAACTGTTCATCCAGGGACGCTTTCTCTCATAGCACATGTTGCCTTTATTGCCACAGGCTGAAGAAATAGGCTGCCCTTGCAGCTCAAGGAAGCAGAGGAGAGTCCTACAAGAGAGCTGGGTTSTGCACTTAACCACATAGTCATCTTTAGTCAACAGGGAGGCTGGGATTGCTGCATGGGGACAACATCTAATTACCCACAGAGCAACTGAAGAAGAAAGCAGTCCAGAGAAAAAAGCCTCCAAAGTGCCAGGGAACCACAAGGACCCAGAGGTTCTTATTTTTTCCACCACAACTTTAATGTTTCAGGAGTCTCAAATTCCATATCTAAACAAATCTGACACACTAACGAATTTTCTTAAGGGGAAAAAAAAAAGAACACCAAGAAAGCAGAAAGCATTGGGACAAGTAACAATAACCAGCTAGAACTGYGAGGTATCTAAGCAAGCATCTGGTCTCTTGTGCTGCCTCCCCAGGTCAGTAAGGGGAGGCAGAGCTGTTGCTCCACACTGTGTCCCACCTGGGCTGCCAGGAGCCTCCCAGGGCTCCCCCAGCTCCACCTGGGTGTCTTTTAAAGCAGCCCTTAAGGGCTGCCAGCTGCAGGGATCTCAGCTCAGGCTGCCCCTACCCTGCAGGCAGCTCCCTCACCATGGGTTATGGGTGGTGGGGACCAGGGCACTGTCCTGGGGCCTCRTGCAGAGGCCTGGCCCTGACCCCGCTGGGATTCCCTGATTCCCGGTGGATGCTGCAGCCTGGCAGCGTGCAGGGCGCGACTGAAATGCAGCCGCTTGCAGGAACGAGGCACCCTTCTCCTGACCCAGCACAGCTGCAATCTCGCCCAGACCAGCCAGCCCCATAGATAATTCTAAGAAGGGAGATGAAGACAGGAGGCTGAACACGCTAATCCACGTGTGGCTAAGAACTGTTCAAATGCTGGCGAAGGGTTTTCTCCTTCCTCTTTAGGGTGCCTATGGCTTTTCTGCCTGCTGTGAGAAGCACCCAAAATATATTTGCTGTGCTATAATTTTGCTGTTGATGTATCACCTGGATGATTGTTCAGGCAATTTGCAATGATGAACAGAACAATTACCTAAATTACTACAAAGCAGAATGCAGGGAATCTAAAGAAACTGCTTCAAACCTTCTGCGAGACAAAAACATGCCAAACTACTTCTGTAAATCCCAGGACCGGGTGTTTTCCTACCATTAATTAACACAGAGCCCCCAGTATCATTCAATCAGGAATCTGGCTAACCTTTTGACAGCAAAACTGACATATTTGAATAGCATCCTCTGGGGGAAATAACGGCATGCCAAGTTCTTAATCCGAAACTAGCTCCTACCCACCGTTGAGCTTTTTGTTCACTTCTAGTTCAAATACACACGCTTCCAGGCATGGCTTTGATCTCCTTGGCATCTAAAAATCTTGGCAATGACGTTGCAATATTCACACCATAGATGAAAAGGGGACTAACCGTGTGAAATGCTAAATCAATATGTTAAATCCAGGAGACGTGTGGTTAAGKGGAGCTCTGCATTACGCCGTGTGGAAGGATGTACCTAACTCCMTTGGGCTCACCTGTAATCCCAGCAGCTTCCCTGCTGGCTGACATCGCAGTGCCGCGGGCCCGACCTGCTGCTGCATCATCTTTCATGCTGCTGCTTACACCTAAGCAAACGTGGGAGCCTGTTGTGCCCATGCAAACATGGATGTGACAGGTCCTGGCTGCTGGGGAGTGAGCCGGGGATGTGCCGAGTTAAAAGCTTGTCTGAAGAGCCAGGTGTTCACAGGGGGGCCTGTTAGGAGGCAGTGGCCTCTATGGAGAGAGCCTCTGGTACCCGTTCACCAGCAATCAGACGGAAAGGGCAGCTTTCCATTGGGAACATGGGGTGAGGAGCCACGGAGAAGCAGTTCCCTCACAAGCTGCCCCGTGTCCCGCTTTGTCCATCCGCCCATGCCCGTCACTCCACATGCAGCCGCCACGCTGTCCTTCCTGCCCCCCGCGCTGACGCAGGGATCACAACTACAGCCATCATCCGCCTCGGAGAAATAAAGCCACTGTAGCAAAACATTGCTGAAGGATAAATATCTCCAGCTCTGGAAGGAAACACAGAACRCTTAGTCTCAATAAACCTCCCCGAGCTCACGTGGAAGCTGGGAGTCGTTAYCTGGTGACAGAGAGGTTTTCTCTATTTATTACTATTCAAGCAGGAAATGCATCTTTGGGGACACCAGGGTGACATGACAAACCAGCTGCACGCACCCCCTGCACCACCATCGCTTTCCCTCTCTGCAAACYCCACCTAGGATCTCGAGTGCTTTAACACACTGCTCGGTCGGTCTCTATGGGGCAATTTTCTGCAAGAAGGAGCTTTAGCTTTCTATATTAGCRGTAAA